CTGAAGCTCCCAGTGTTACCTGATCTGTCTGGATCTGATCTTAGTGCTGAAGGAAAAGGAGCTGAGACATTTAATGAGCTTCAAAGTGTGATTCACTGCAGGCCAGTTGTACTAATTCAGATTCAGACAACTTTATTAATCCCAGAAGGGCAATTCAGTTTCACAGCCTACTGAGTCTTGTAAAGAAAAAACAAAGACAATAAACAAAACGAGAAGCCAGAGCTAGCAAATCTAGAAATTCCAGATATGTATCTAATAAACAGATACATTCTACAATTCACTTAGCAGACTCTTTTATCCAAAGCGACGTACATCAGAGAGTAAGAACAACACAAGCAAGGATCTAGAAAAAAGGGAACAATGTGAGTAAGAGCAAACGATCAGCTTTGAGTCTGATTGGACACACAGGTGCTGACAGGAAGTGACCAGAGGCAAAGCACAACATTGAGGGCAGTTCTTGAGAGCTCTAATCAGTATAGAAACCATCTTATAAGTCGTCGTTATCAAACAAAAACCATCGTCATTACCATCATCATCATCAATAATATGGAGACCATCATCATTAAGTTAGTAGGTATTCATGAAAGAGCTGGGTCTTTAGCTTTTTCTTAAAGGTGCAGAGGGACTCTGCAGATCACATGGAGTTTGGAAGTTCATTCCACCACCGGGGGGCGACAGAGGAGAAGAGTCTAGTCAGCGTCTTAGGACCCTGTTGTGAAGGTTGGATCAGACGCCTTTCATTGGAAGAGCGTAGTGGGGGGGGGGGGAGTGTAGACCTGGATCAGAGAGTTAAAGTAAGGAGGAGACGTTTTTGTCGCTGTTTTGTAATCGAGCAGCAGAGTTTTAAATTTGATGCGAGCAGTAACTGGGAGCCAGTGTAAGGAGGTGAACAGCTCTTTTACATAAATGAATGGACCTCACAGGTCACCTAAGGGTGCAGTAACAGTCCATTCAGTACTGGGCTGCATTGGATTAAATTAACTGGTCGTGCAAATCTGTACTTCCTGTTACTTCTTCATGTTCTCCTCTGTCCTGTCTCTCTACAGGATCCTGCACTGCCAGTTGGACCCTCTTTGTTCTTCTGCTCGTCCTCGTTGTTGCTGCTGTCTTGTGTTGCTTCTATAAACGTATGGAAATTGCAAGGTACGAAATATGAAAGTATCTCAAACACTACAGTGAACTATTCAATTCTACTATTAAATATAAAAGCTTATACGGTTACATACTGTGACTACTAACTTTTACTTTTTTTATTACCTTGTAGATTCATACTACGGGAAGAAGGCGGCACACGAGGCAAGAGGCAAAAGGTTCCAACGACTTCCAGCTCACCTGAAGGCCATGACAGAGTAGAAGAAGATGGAGGGGAAACAGAGGTAAGACATTTGTTACATGGTAGGTATTCAGGGAAAGGTGAAATTCCATTGGTCATGTGACGATGACATCATCAGCTTCATGTTGCACTAACACCTCCAACATCTTCACCTGCATATACCTGCTGCTGTCTGTTTTCAACCAGTGCAGTTTGACCTGAGAGACAGAAGCTCCTGAATGCATCACAAAAAGGCCTTTTCCAATGTAGTGACTTAACAACCTAAGAACTCCCAATGGGTTTCCTTTTTCAAGTTATTCCAAGATTTATATAAAATTAAAAAAAGACTATTTGCAGACTGAGTGGAAATAAATCAAGTTTTAATGAAATGTTTTTGCCTTCTCTTCCTCAGGGAGAGCTTTGAAATCAGTCGAAGCAACAGAAGAGGATCACAGCTGGACTGAAGGTGATTTGCAGACTTCCAACACTATTCATTCCTGACGCAGCCGTTAGTGAAAATAGGCAGTATTCCTGGTGCTTTACATTTTGTTGATGTCATTGACATTGGTTTTAAAAATAGCCAATTTCTCAATTCAGATATTTAAAGTTATTGTTTCCAAATATTACAACTGAACAGCTAGTAGTATTATCAAAAAAAGAATGTCAAAAATGAACCTGAAGGTTAAGAGCTTTTCTGAAGAGTCACCAAAATATGAAAGTCAGCTACAATGTTGATGTAGAACTAACAAGGCAAAATTGGAAGAAGTCAAAAAGGAAGGAAACCGTTTAACTGTCACCAGTTTTTAAACATGAAGGCCTGTGGCTTTAACCGTCAGCCACCAGGAAGGTACTCTGTTTTCACACCAACAGTATTAACTGCTGGTCACAGCAAATGAGTATGAAGCATGTGTACATGCACACAGAACAGAACAGGTTTTGAAAGGAAAGTAGGAAAGAAGATTTTGAGATTTGTTTTTGTGTCTTTGTGCCAATCTAAGTAGTGCCTATAAACGAGGTGATCCTTACAGGAAAAGTTGAAGCACTAACAAGCCTTACCCAGCATTTTGTAGTCAGGCTATCAGTCTGCTGCTGTGACTTTTCACAGAGTTAAACAACTGAAATACACATTCAAGCACCTAAATTATGTTGTTTACAGGTCATTAGCACTTCAGTTACAAAGCTGCTAAGAGGAGCTTTCATTTTGTGTTCAATTTGACTACTACCCCCTGGTGGCTGAAATGGGTACCGATTTGTGTGAAGATGTTTTTTTTTTATCTTTCCATGGCTATTTAAGATCGTAACTGTGATAACAAAATGCAGTTATTCATTATGTTATGTTATGTTATGTTATGTTATGGGGGCGGCTGTGGCTCAGTTTGTAGAGTCATCACCTCTCAACCGGAAGGTCGAGGGTTCGATCCCCAGCTGTGCAACATGTCCGATGTGTCCTTGGGCAAGACACTTAACCCCGCATTGCTCCTGCTGCTTCAGTGGCGGTGTATGAATGGATTAGTTTTGTACTTACTCTCTGATGTATGTCTTGTGTCTGCTAAGTAAATTGTTACATTGTAACATGTTTTGATGACAATAAGCTATCATCAATGTGTAATCAGTAGAGTGTTCTTTTAGACTGATAGCTGCAGTGTGTTTTTTTTTATTAAAGTCCTGTAAAGCCTTGCTTATCTTTTTTTACTGATGATGTTTTCTACATTTTCCCTTCATGCACTAAGCCTTATTTTATCTTACTTTGTTCTGCTGTGCATTTTATTGTTATTCTTTTTGGAAAGTTAAATCTAGATAACCAATGATGCTTTAACCACACTTTGATGTAAGACACTTTTTGTTTTTTCTTTTTTAGCTGTAAAACATTTCACTTCCTGCTCTATGGTTATCTGTTTGCTTTATTTAGCATTTTATTTGAACTGTTAATTTATTAAAGCTTGTGAAAAACATCACAAATTCTTCAATCCCATGTCTTTCATTTGTGTGTCTTCCTCACATACCATCCCTTATCTGTGGTTAGCTAGGGATCGTTTTTCTTCATGGGTTGGACTATGACACCTTTTTTTACCACAAAACAAATACCCACAGTGAGGGCAAAGAAAGAGACCAAAGCTTGTCTTCATGACTGAATCAATGGAAACAGCACCTGACAGGAAGCTGGGCTGAAGGAAACAAAAGTCCCTTCTTCGTTGTGAGACAGGAATGAATGACTTGTTAAATGGGCTGTATTTCTGTATTTCTGCTATGTTACAAAGACCCGGTCTATCCATCATGAGCACTTTAGCAAAGCAGCAAAAGTTACAGTGGTAAGAAAAAACTTCTTATTAAAAGGCAGAAATCTTCAGCTGGATCCCCGGCTCATGATGAAACAGCCTTCACAGGCCTAGACTGCGCCGGGCTTGGAAAGGGATAGGGGGAGAGATGGGATAAAATGCAGGAAGAGGGATAGGGAGCAAGGGGGTGATGACGATTGATGACGATTCTGACGTCAAGTCGGCAAGACGAGCACCTCCTTCTTTTCCGAGTTTCCGACTTGTTGTTCCGACTTGAGCAGGTGTTCATGTGCATTTTACAACTCGGGCATCGTTTTTCCGATGTGCCTGACACCCTGAATGCACCATCTGCCAATTGTGCCGTTCGATGACGTTACCACTGTTATTAGCCAATAGTTTATCTGTTTATCTGGAACAGTGAATTTAGTTAACACATGCTTTGGAGAACGATCTAATTACTGTCTTCAGAGAAAAAGTTATGCAAGTACACAAAACACAAATGTGGTCAATTTTGTCCTGCAACCTCGTGGTGCCAATACATTAATGGACTAAATGGTAGGCTGCTGGCATGTACAACAGAAGAGGTCCACCGAGAGTGGATTGTTTTTAATTCTGCCAAATGTGCTTTCCTCCATCATTCATTTTGCCACTTGTTAAACTCTCAGGACCAGATTTACTGAGCTCCCAAGTAAAGAGTACTAAATTGCGCGTTCACTCCAAAAGTTTGCACGTTTGGTTGGTGGGCGTTTTGCGGGAGATCTACTAAGAAAATTTGCGTGAATGACACCACTACTGGTTTCTACTGGTTTACATCATGGAGAGTTTGGACAGAAAGCCAGATGACTGCAAGCGCAAAATAGGTCTTAGTGAGAGAGGCAAATAAACGCACAATACTTTCGAGTTATAGAAGATAAATCTGAATATTACAAAGAAACTTTTGGTTATAAGAAAACCTCGGCGTTAAACAGGGCCTCTCTTTTCTTCATCTTAAGAATGAAGTGTCATACATTGAGCAGGAGGTGTGAGCTGTGTCCTCTGTGGACCGGGCGCTCTACACTCCCTGTTGTTGCGCAGCAGACAGCTGGTCAGCGCTGTGTCTGATCGGACATAAATGCCCTGGAAAAAGGTATCGAAGACGGGGGTACAAACAGTGGTGAGGTCCCCTAATCCAAGCGTCCTACGGAGTAGCAGCAGCTTTACGAGCGATGGAGAGGAGCGCACCGAGGGGGCGAGCTGGGGGAGAGACGCGCAACCCGAGAAAAAGGAAATCCCCAGTTTAAAATGTAATGTTGGTGAAAAGAGGAAATAGGATGACATAAATGTCAATGTTGAAATTCTATAGAATTCAGAGGCTGTGAATGTTCAGTTTTGTTTGGCTAGATGGCAACAACAGCCTGTAGTTTAATCACGTTGTTTATCTTTCTTAACAATTAGAATATTGAATCAAATTAAAAAATAAAAGCATGCCATTTATTTTTCTGTCATTTGAAAGATGGAAACACTGTGATGTTGTAGGTAAAATGTTCTCTGAATTTCCATGGCAAAAATACATTTTTGTCCTCCTCCTGGTCGTTTGTCTCATCCTCTGCCATTGTCATTGTGTGGAAAGTGCTCTCGCGCATTGACTTGCAGCGTACCTGCGCACATAGAGCCACCTGCTACCTGCGTGTAGTGCCGTAAAGTAATCCCTATAAGTAATCCTTTTTTGAGAAAGTAACTGTATTCAGAATACACCAATTTAAACTGTAACTATAACGGAACACAGTTATTCTTATTTTGTATTTTAAATACGTAACGCCGTTACATGTAATCCGTTACTTCCCAACCCTGCGTTTCAGACAGGGAATCTAAAGGCCAATATGACACAACAACTATAAAATAAAAAGGACAAGAAAGCCAAAAACAATAAATTCATCAATTCAATTAATTAAGAAAGAAATATTAACAATAATGAAATTATATTTCAACTTTTGTTTAGGTTTAGATTAAGTGAAATACTAAGGCATACATAAGGTGTAAGACATAAAAAGATCTTATACATCTCAAAGTATTTAGGAAGTCAAATAACTTAATTTAAAAATTCTGAATTTCCCCCACAGAGGGGATGAATCAAATATTGACTTATCTATCTAATATAGGGTAACAAGATATCTATCTATGAAATTTGTTAATCTTGAGATAAGCTTAAATAATTTAAATTTCTGTAAAAAAATACTTGGCAAGTGTAATCAAGTTATTTAATGATCAAGTTATTGCATTTTTTTTCTATAATCCAGGTAGAGACAGGCCCTTTAAAAATCAGACATTTCCAGTCATACTCCTCAGGTTGAGTACATAAACAGGTACACAATGAGAGACGTTCAAATAAAAAGAGCCGTAAATAACTGAAAGCACAAAATATAACAAAGTGAAATAACTGAATTACAACAGGGCTATCTCAAAGTGCAGTTATCCCCAAACTTTTAAACACATTTCCATAAACTGTCACCCAATTTCTCAACACCTCAGAGACAAAAAAAAGAGTGAACTACTTTGTGAAAACTCTACAAATGTCTTACAAAGTGAAACAAAGCTAAAAACCATGTCCCCTCTTCTCTAAACTGATTCATTTAACCAAAACAATACACACTGATGTGAACAATTCAAAACACTACCATCAAAAGTGTTCATGTATGTTTTGGATGAGAAGCAAAAGAAAAAAAAAAAACCTTCATGTGCAAGCACCTAGTAAGAGAGAGTACCCTGCTGATGAATGTAGACACAGAGGGGTTTTCAAGTGGGCACTCTCCTTCCTCAGTGTTTTTGTTGTTGAGCTGACGACGTCTCAGGAGGGCTCAACAGCGCCCTCTGGTGTCCCAGAAAACATCCCCTATATGTCAACCTGGACTGCTACTTTGGGTCCCAGCAGAGGTCTTGCATCTTCATCCATAGCCATTGGCTGTTTCTCTCTGCAGCTTTGGTCGCTTCCTGCAGTTTCTGGCCTCCTAGGTCTCTAAGCAGCTTCAAACCTAAGGCAAGGTGAGTTTATTTATGTCACACATTTCAACAACAAGGTAATTCAAAGTGATTCACACAAGACATCAAAAAGCATCATGACAGAGGAAAGAAAAGAAACATTAAAATAGAACATTTAAAAAATCACTGAAATTATTAAATCTGAAAATATGTTCAAATAAAAATAATTCAAATGAAATTAATTGAAATTAAAAAAAGTAAAAATATAAAAAGAGTTAAAAGTTACAGAGCAGAGTTAAAGTTTAAAATCTTATTAAAGCTGTTTAATGAAAGGCTGTAAACAGGTGAGTCTTCAACCTAGATTTAAAAGAGCTGAGAGTTTTCTGGGAGTTTGTTCCAGATATAAGGAGCATAGAAGCTGAACGCTGCTTCTCCATGTTTGGTTCTGACTCTGGGGACAGAGAGCAG